CTGATGAAGCGTTGTCAAAGTAACATGCAACAATCGCGTTAAAATAATTTGAATTGGCCGAATCCAGAGCTCTGGATTCTTCTCAAACGATTCACGAAAACTGCTGAAGCTGTACCTAAAAAGCGCGCCTTCAAAAATGCGAAGAAGTGGATTTTTGAAACCAGGAAAAAGAAAAAGTGAAAATTTTGAAGGCAAAGAAAAAAAAAACAAATATTTAAAGAATGCTACCAAACTGGCAACACAGGAAGCCACTTTCGCAGACGACTATTACTCACTTCCAGTCTTCAGCTTTTGAACAGATAAAAGAAGCCAAAAACATACCGCACAACTCGGCATGGCGTCAATGCTCGCACAGAGACGTTATGAAACGTGATTTCATTCTTCTGCAACAAATTCACATTATCGAAAAAGTGGATTTTTGAAATCAAGAATAAGCAAATTACAGTTCACCAAAAATGGCGCACGGCTTACTCGTAACAGCAACATCATACTTTGAAATAAAACAGGGAGGCTGCATCACATCTGCGGTCATTTAAGGGCGTATATACATTTTCTGCATTGAACGATGGCCGATTTCACAAGACAGTTTATAAGATTTATCCTTTTAATTTTTATGTGAATCAACACTCGCATCTTGTCAGTAATACTCATCCTGTTACATATTTCAGTATTATTTACTACGTGTCTTTTATTCCTTCCACGTTATAGATTTTACTTCTCAAAATTTTTTCAACTAATCTGAAGAATTTTGAAAATCTAGATAGGTATTTTTAATCCCACATTATGTTTTTCATAAAAATATTTTCAAGCTTAAATTTTTAAGTTCACCAAATGTTGTACAAAAAATGCAGAATATTAAATTATAAAGTACAAATATTTATGGATCCACAGTATTATAAGAAAAAGGCCTAGTGATTATATGGGACTTGTAACAATACCATAGACTTATACTGGACTTTAAATTCCCTTTCAAATCCCCCTCCCCCGGGCCTTTAAATTCTCAGTTTCTATGTTCCAAACGCATTTTTCTTTTCTAAAATTTATTTTATGTAATTTTATGCGTTTTGTGCTGAATAAGCCAAATGAGCTGCACAAAAGCCAAATGAGTAAGCCAAATGAGCTGCACAAAACGCATGCTGTCACGAGGTTGCCCGTACATATGCATATATATGTGTTCGCAGCAACTTGTCCGCAACTTTCAACTCGGGGAACACAAGAGCTAGGAAGCAGAAAATTTAGGGCAATGTTCTCCACTCACGTATAACCCAGCAAAATTTAAATTCAGCTTCCCTGTACCCGCGGATAACACGTACGGCTCTGTAAAAGTTTTAACTGGTAAAACTATTATCACGGGAACCAAAAAAGTTTGAGATCTAAATTTTAGGGCGATGTCTCCTATTAACGTACGCCCCCCGCAAATTTGGATTCAATCTTCACGCACCCCTGGATACTACGTGAAAGTTTTGGTGAGAAAAATCATTTCTCGAGAGAAAGAAGAGTTACGAGGCTGAAAATTTCTGGAAAATGTTTACTGTCTAAGCAGGAACTTCACAAACTCGATTTCAGTTCCTAAGTATGCCGAGGTCGCACATACGAAAGTTTTGTTTCAAAGATCATTTGAGAGCCAGAAAAAAATT